CTTTCTAGCTATGTGGCTTCAGGGTCACTTACTGAGTTGGCACATGGTTGGTTACCACCTGCCAGCCTTCCCTCTTCCTCACAAGACCAGGAAGAGTGTGGAGCCATCTGCCACAGCTGACAGTCCTCACCATTAGCCTTTCGACAATATCGATAGCCCTTCGGATCAGGATGGAACCTGGCAGCCATCCCATCAGTGCAGATGCCAGAACTGCAGCTCCTCAGTCCCCAGGAGGGAGCTGGTCTGTGCAGCTGAGGAATCTGGAGATGGAGTTTTCCACCATGTGATCTTGGTTTCCTTGTGCAGGTTATAAAACTGCTCATTGGCAAGGGCTCAAGACAGTGAGAGCTGGCCAAAAATGGAGTCCTTAGAAGAAATGAGTTAGGTCCCCTGATGTGTGGAAGATGAATGTCTGCTGTCCTGTTGCCCTTGTGGAAGTCGCAGTGGAGCAGCTTCCTGTCCTACACAGCGTCTTGTGTTAGTCTGTGTGGAGCCTGGTTGATAGGGACAGCTTCTAGATGGGGACAGCTTCTAGATAGGCCCACCCGCTAGAGTCCCATTTGAATAAGTAACTTCTTCAAAGTGTCCTGTTTTCTAGTAAGTCAATTAAGGTAGGGAATAAAATGGGTAGGTTGGAAAGAACAGTTTCAGTAACTTACAATTTAAATTGGAAAAAAAAATGAAAATAGGCTAAAGTGATTTCTCCCCCCGCCCCTTTTTTAAGGTTTGTACTTATTTGAAAGGAAGGCAAGAGAGAGAAAGAAATCAATCTCCCCCTCCCCCCCCAAAAAAGAAGAAATCAATCTCCCAATCTTAGGTACACCCTGTCTGCAAATGCTCCCAATACCTGGGTCTGGGACTGGACCAGGCTGAAGCTAAGAGTCAGGAACTCCACCCAGGTCTCCCCTGTGGGTGACAGGAACCCAGGTGCCTGAGCTGTCATTTGCTGCTTCCCGGAGTACCCATCAGTTAGGAGCTGGATTAGAAGCAAAGGCAGGAACCAAATTCCCTGTGCTCAGCAGGTGTCCCGAGTAGTGACTTAACCTGAGGTGAAATGCCCACCCTAAGATAGTTGTCTGTAGATGAACCGTCTATGACTGATACACATTATTCTATGATTTCTACGTCTTCTGAAGCAAGTACATGCTTTTTATTATAGGGAAAAATTTTTTAAATTAATTTGAATAATTATGATATATTTGAAAGGCAAATTTTCACATAGAGAGGGAAAGATACCCAGAGAGAATTATCTGTCATCTTTGATTTACTCCTCCCAAATGGCTACAACAGGTGGGGCTGGGCCAGGCTGAAGCCAGGAGCCAGGAGCCAGGAGCCAGGAGCCAGGAACTTCTCTTGGGACTCCCATGTGGGTACAATTGCCCAAGGATTTGAGCCATTTTTGCTGCTTTCTCAAGAGCATGAACAGGGAGGTGAATCAGAAGTAGAACCACTGGCACGTGAACCGGCACTAATATAGGGTGCTGGCATTGCAGGCTGTGACTTAATGTACTATGCTGCAACACCAGGCCCTTAAATCACCATCTTCTACTAGCAGATAAATAATAAAATCTGAATGAAAAGGAACAGTTTATTATTTAGACCAAAAAAAAAAAAAAAAAAAAAAACCAGATCCCAAATAGGCTGATATTTTGAGAGTTCAGTGGGTATTGTAAAGGAGAATTTCTGATGCCAGCTGAAATTTGCTATGTAAGATTCAGGGCCACTTCATTTTCTTTGAAATGTTACGGGTATAAAAATACAGCTTCTGGGCCTGGCGCGGTGGCACAGTGGTTAAGGTCCTCACCTTGCACGCCTGGGATCCCATGTGGGCGCCGGTTCTAATCCCGGTTGCCCCGCTTCCCATCCAGCTCCCTGCCTGTGGCCCGGGAAAGCAGTCGAGGATGGTCCAAAGCTTTGGGACCCTGCACCCACGTGGGAGACCCGGAAGAGGCTCCTGGCTTCGGACTGGCATAGCATTGGCCGTTATGGTCACTTGGGGAGTGAATCATCGGATGAAAGATCTTCCTCTCTGTCTCTCCTCTCTGTATATCCGCCTTTCCAATAAAAATAAAATAAATCTTTAAAAAAAATATATAGCTTCTGGACATTTGATAGCTCAGTCAAGTTATTAGAAAATCTAGGAAAAGAACCACTGTCCTTATAGGGAGATCGTTTCATCTCATTTATACTAATAGGTGGCACCTGTGTTTGAAATGTGTGTGATTGACATGTGACATTCATAGTCTCAACACTCCCAAGTCTTGCTGGGACTACGTTACGAAAGAACCTTGGCTGATTTGCCCTAATGTAGTCCTAGTTGGGAACAGAATTTGCTTTAGTATGCTGGTCAGTAGTACCTAAAGGGTAAGTTGGGACGCTTCCCCTCTCTAGGCCATGCTGTCACTGGAGGGGCGCCAGAAAGTAGGCTGATAGAATAGATGAATATCTTTTGAAGGCTTTTTTTTCCCCTCCAAATTTATAACAATCAAAAGTAATTGACCTTTCTTCAGGCTCCTGTGTCCGTTTTATTTCTCATTTTGCAGTCTGTCTCATCTCTATGCTTGAGTGAGCTCCTGGGAGGCAGAGTGCTTTGCCCAGTGGATACTCAGTAACTGTTAAATCCTAGGCATTGAATGGGACTTTTTCTCAAGTAATGAGTATTGGGCTAGGGCAGAGGAATGAGCTTTAGCTTCTCTGTGGGTATCACTTGCTGGCAGCATTCATATCGCCACAGCTTCCTGCACAGTGCATGGGGAAAAGAGTTTATTATCCTGTCTGCCTTCGCCCACCTTAACCCACCTCTGAACAACTCAGTCAGCCTCCTCTCTGTTATCGGCTATCTTTTAGTTATCTATGGTTGCATAACATATCACTCCAAACAGCAAAAGCACATTTTTTAAAGATTGACTTTGTTGGAAAGGCGGAGTTACAGAGAGGACAACACACACACATGCACACACTCCCCACCCCACCCCACCACACCACACCCCCATGTATACTCCACTTCATCCCAGTTTGGGGCTGGGTAAGGCTGGAGCCAGAATTCTGGCCAGGTTTCCCACATGGATGCTAGGGACCCAAGCACTTGGACCATCTGCCTCTGTTTTTTCACATGCGTTAGCAGGGAGCTGGATTGCAAGTGGAGCAGCCAGAACTCATACCAGTGCTCATACAGGATGCTGGCATCATAGCTGGCAGCTTAGCTAACTGTGGCACAATGCTGCCCCTCCCCAACACAATAATCTATTATCTCTCCTGTTTTCTGTGGTCCAGAATTTGAAAGCGGACTTGGTGGTTGGTTGGCTTAAGGTCGTTCATGTGCTTGGAGTCAGATATCTGTGCGTCTGCAGTCATCTGAACTCATAGATAGATAGATTGAAGGGTTGATTTGAAAGGCCAAATGGGGCCCAGCGGTGTGGCCTAGCGGCTAAAGTTCTCGCCTTGAACGCCCCGGGATCCCATATGGGCGCAGGTTCTAATCCTGGCAGCTCCACTTCCCATCCAGCTCCCTGCTTGTGGCCTGGGAAAGCAGTCAGGGACGGCCCAGGGCCTTGGGGCCCTGCACCCATGTGGGAAACCTGGAAGAGCTTCCTGGATCCTGGCTTCGGATCGGCATAGCATCGGCCGTTGCGCTCACTTGGGGAGTGAATCATCGGACGGAAGATCTTCCTCTCTGTCTTTCCTCCTCTCTGTATATCTGACTTTCCAATAAATAAATAAACTCTTAGAAAGGCCAAATGAGAGACTCTTCTACCTGCTGGTTCATTTCATCCTGTCTCTCACTGCAAGTCTAATCAGGGTATTTATTGGTCAGGCCTTGCATCTCATCTGAGGCTCAACCAAGGGAGGAAGTGCGTCCGCCTGCTTGTTGCTTGGTCATTGATGCATTCGGTTCATTGCAGATTGCTGGGCCAGGGGTCTCTGTTTCTTGCTTTCAATCGTAGATTCCTTGCCTTCTTTTTGTTTTTAAGGTTTATTTTATTTATTTGTATTTGAAAGGCAGAGTTACAACAAAAGAGAGAGTTAAAAAAAAAAAAAAAAGAAAGGGAGAGATCTCCCATTCTCTGTCTCACTGATGAAATGGTTGCAATGGCTGGAACTGAGCTGGTCTGAAGCCGGGAGCCTGGAGCTTCTTCCTGGTCTCCCACGTGTGTTCAGGGGTCCAAGTACTGGGGCCATCCTCAGTTGTCTTCCTAGATAGACAGATTATCACGGAGCTGAATTGAAAGTGAAGCAGCCAGGACTCAAACCAGCACTTGTATGGTGTGCTGGTGCTGCAGGCAGAGGATTGTTACAATATGGCTCTGGCCCCTCTTTTTTTTTTTTTTTTTTTTTAAGGTTTGTTTATTTTTCTGGGAAAGGCAGATTTACAGAAAGGAGAAACAGATCTTCTGTCTGCTGGTTCACTCCCCAAGTGCCTGCAGTGACTGAAGCTGAGCCATTCCAAAGCCAGGAACTTCTTCTATGTCTCCCTTGCGGGTGCAGGGTCCCAAGGCTTTGAGCTATCCTCTGCTGCTTTCCCAGGCCACAAGCAGGGAAGTGGATGGGAAATGGAGCAGCTGGGACACAATCCAGCGCCCATATGGGATCCAGGTGTGTGCAAGCTGAGGTCTTTACTCACCAGGCTACCACACCAGGTCCTTTCCTTTCCCTTTAACAACACAGTTAGCTTGCCTTTTCAAAATCAGTAGGCAAGGGACTGTCTCTCTGCAAGACAAATACTACTGTACTGTACAATATACTTGTATACATTCCATCAATTTTGTCATATTTTATTGGTGAAAAGCAAACACTGGTCTCAGCTGTACTTTGTGTGTGTGCTGCCGAAGGAGGAGAGGGTGACGCGTTGTGCTGGGCTGTGTTTGCCAGGAGGCCAGGGTCGCCGAGGCTGCTTTCCCTGTGTCTGCCACACTGAGCTGGCTGTGTGCAGGTGCAAGCACGGGTGTGTTAATCCTAGCCTGTTTCCCACTCCTGGCTTAAGCCTTTTCCCTCTGTTGTAGCGCTGCCTGTGGACCCCCAAGACTCCTCCACTCGCTGGCTTCATGGATGAACTGCAGGATGTTCAGCTCACAGAGATCAAGCCGCTTCTCAATGACAAGGTAAAAACCCCTCTGCTGACCCTAAAATAAACAAGTCATTTCATCTGCTACCAGTTATGTCTGTATCAACTCAGTCAGTAACCAGCCCTAGTAACCAGACTCCTGATGGAGGGAATTCTTTGAGAAATTTATTTCTTAACTCCTGTTTTTTTTTTTTTCTGTCTTTCCTACTTTATCTTTCATGAAATCATATTCAACCAAATTGGTTTTGAGAGTTTCCTCTGTTTAGATAGGAACATCGAAGGAAACATAAATTGGCCAGGTTAAGTAGCTGTTACAAGATGGGTGTTGACCAGGAATCCAAGAGTTCTGACTCTCAGGTCTCTGAGGAAAGCTTTTGGTGATGTGCACAAGCTACAAGATTCTCCCTGAAGCTCATCCGATCCATGGCGAGACCTTGCCGTGGCCCTCACAGGTGCGTCAGGGATACCTGGCTACCAGCAGTGTGTCCACTTCTGTATTTGTGTTGAAGAGCCAACTGGATGCTGGGTGGCATTGCTGAGGGACAACAGGACCGAGCAAGTGAAGAGTGAGGTGACAGGAGCTCCTGGAAAGTGAGGAAAGTCGGCAGACGTCGTCCGTTTTCTGTGTTCAGACGGGTTTCTTCTCCACACTCTTGTTGTGTCACTGCACCTTCTGCAATATTCGGAGCAGGGTGTCCGTGAGTCAGCAGAGTTCATGAAAGAAGGTTGAGAGACAGCCGGGAGGAGGCTGGGTGAGTTTGAGGGAGGGACAGGGTAAGAAGAAGCTGTTGTTTATTGTCCTTTTCTGCTGCTGGCCTGTGCTGTGTTTGCCTTTCTGTGTCCACCTCTCTCACTTCGCCCAGCCCTTCTTTATCTTTCACCAGGCTTCTTTCTCCTTTGCTTTTCAAGTCCCCACATAGCTTCTCCTGATGTTTCCCATCCAATTTCCATAAAACTGTCTTTTTAAGATTTTTTTTTTTTTTTTTTTTTTTTTTTTTTTTTATTGGAAAGGCGGATATACAGAGAGGAGAGACAGAGAGGAAGATCTTCCGTCCGATGATTCACTCCCCAAGTGAGCGCAACGGGCCGATACTATGCCGATCCGAAGCCAGGAGCCTCCTCTGGGTCTCCCACGCGGGTGCAGGTTCCCAAAGCTTTGGGCTGTCCTCGACTGCTTTCCCAGGCCACAGGCAGGGAGCTGGAAGGGAAGCGGGGCTGCCGGGATTAGAACCGGCGCCCATATGGGATCCCGGGCGTGCAAGGCGAGGACCTTTAACCACTTGCGCCACCGCGCCGGGCCCAAAACTGTCTTTTTAAGTTTGTGAAGGACTATCCCAAAAATACTGTGCCATGAAGTGGAGGGAGAGAATAAAGCTAGAATCGGGTGCACATGAGAGGATGATTCTTCCTTATCCTGGCAGAAAGCTAGCAGCTTCATCCGGGTCCCCCACATGGGTGGCTGGAACACAGGTATTCAGACAGTCACCCACTGCTTTTCTCAGGCCATTAGCAGGGAGCTGTATTTCAAGTAGAGCTGAAAGACACAAGACACAAGCTGTTGCTCATGTGGGATGATGGCATTGCAGGCACCAGCTTTACCATCCACACTGCAATGCTGGCCCCTCTTTTTTTTTTTTTTAATTCTTAGAGCCTCGCTTTGAAGCAGGTAGCATTCCTTGTTGAGCTGATGTGAACTCTGGCTGAAAGCCTGCCTTGCCATCACTGAGTGGCAAAAGCAGGATTGAAACCCAGGTTTTCCCTGCTCTAACCTCAGTCTTTCCATGTAGCCAACCCTGTAGAAGTCTTGGCATCACTTTCTCTTTAGGAGAAGCCTGGAAATGTGTTTCATTGCACCTCATCTTTCTGTTCATTCTGCTTGTCTCTGTACTCTTAACCAAAGACACTGCTGAGCCCATCCAGGCTGCAAGGAGATAAAGCAACTCAAACACAAGCTGTTCCAGAGACGTTTGTCCTGAGATGACTGGAAGGGGGCATTTTCCATAGAGTGAGGCTTGTGCTAACCTGTCACTCGTCATCAGCTGGTCGTTTTCCCATTTTATTTTCGTATGCCTGTCATTTCGTCTCCGGCTCTGAAGTGCGAGATGTGGGTAATTTTGCCATGCTTGTTTGATTTGAAAGGAGGATACATCCACCATCTGCTGCCTCTGGGGCTGCTGGTTTCGCACCTCTCACCCAACAGATCCAGGAAGAAGCAGCTGAGCTGCCTTTCTGCTCCTTGTTCTGGGCTTAGGTGCTGCAGAACCTGGGGAAAGCCTAAACCCAGGCTTGAGAAAGCAAATAGGAGGCCACAGTTGCCTTCTGAGTTGTTGAGGAAAGTCCACGGAGCCATCAGTGTCTAGCAAGGAGAATGGAAACAAGGTATTTACTTGATTTAGTTTGCTACAGTAGAAACTGAGGTAAACCTTACTACAGTGTTTTTTTTTTTTTAAGATTTATTTATTTATTGGAAAGTCAGATATACAGAGAGGAGGAGAGACAGAGAGGAAGATTTTCTGTCCGATGATTCACTCCCCAAGTCACCCCAACAGCTGGTGCTGTGTCGATCCGAAGCCAGGATCCACATGGGTACAGGGTCCCATGGCTTTGGGCCGTCCTCGACTGCTTTCCCAGGCCACAAGCAGGGAGCTGGATGGGAAGTGGAGCTTCCAGGATTAGAACCGGCGCCCATATGGGATCCTGGGTTGTTCAAGGCGAGGACTTTAGCTGCTAGGCCACGGTGCCGGGCCCATACCCAAAGTCTTAACAGAAATGTTGCAACTTTTTTTTTTTCTGTTTCATATTGGCTCATTCATTTTATATCTCCCAAGCGCCTGATTTCTGCTGTGTTTGGAGGCTGTCAGGTGGTCTCAAGAACTGGAAATTCACTGGCTGATCATTTGCATTCTGACAACACCTACCCTAGGTCATAGGAGGCCCTTCCTTCTACTTCTCATGGTCTAACTGGAAATTAAACACAGTGACGTTGCTTTTAAAAAGTAATTTTTGGGGCAAGAGTTGTGACAAGCTTTTTATTTTCTTAAGAGATTTACTTGTAGTAAATAATGCTGGTAGTGGTTTTACTGGTAGTGGTTTTAAAAGCTGTGTCGGGTCTGGCACGGTGGCCTAGCAGCCAAAGTTCTCGCCTTGAATACACCGGGATCCCAAACATGTGCCAGTTCTAATCCTGGCAGCCCTGCTTCCCATCCAACTCCTGCTTGTGGCCTGGGAAGGCAGTTGAGGACAGCCCAAAACTTTAAGACTCTGCCCCCAGATGGGAGACCTGGAGGAAGTTCCTGGCTCCTGGCTTTGGCTCGGCGTAGCACTGGCCATTGTGATCACTTGGGGAGTATCATCGGACGGAGTATCTTCCCCTCTATTTCTCCTCTCTGTATATCTGACTTTGCAATAAAAATAAATAAATCTTTGATAAAAAATAAATAAATAAAACCACTACCAGTAATGGTAGCATTCCATGTAGATGCTCTACTTTTTTTTGGATGCTCCACTTCTGGCCAGCTCCCTGCTAGTGGCCTGGGAAAAGCAGAGCAAGATGGCATCTTGAATTTAAAAATAAATAAATCTTTAAAAATTGTTTTTAAAAATTTACGTTTTATTTGAATGGCAGAGATCTTCCAGACACTGGTTCAGTACTCCGAATGCCTGCAGCAAACATGGTCCAGGCCTAAGCTGGGAATCAGGAACTTCACCCAGGTCTTCCACACGAGTGGCAGGAGCACAAGTATATGAGCCATCCTCCGGTACCTGCTAGGGTGGGCATCAGTAAGAAGTAGGTTGGAAGACTAAAATTAAACTCTTTGATATAGATAGCGGGTGTCCCAGTGGCGACTCACACCTGTATCCCAAATGCCAGCCCCACAATGGCTTTCTTGAAAGCTCCCAGACCTTTCCTGGGAACGAAGGCTGCCACAGGACAGGGTGATCCTTTAATCCTTAGCGACATTCCTTAGAAATCTACCCAGGCCCATCTGCTCAGTCTCGGAGTTATCCGTGCTGTGACTGTATCAGACTTTGTTGTTGTGAATTCAGTTTCATGTGAGGAATAGCACTTCAGACTTGCTGTCTCTTCCATGCTGCTGTCAGTGGTATCTCCATCTGTCCATGTTGGTATCTGTTATGACATTCCAGCCACCTTTAGAAAATTTATGCTGCTCATAAATCAATTTAAAATCAAATTAGACATGTGGCTAATGGCTGCCACAGTGGACAGTACAGCTATAAACCATCTCAGCTAATTCCACTGGTTCCTCCTATGGGAAGGGTCGTTTGTTGCTTTGGGTGTATGTGTCCTACTCCCCTCCCACCTGAAGGTAGAGGGTTTTCACTTGTTTATCCTGCTGATAGCAAAGGAGATGAATCCAGGACAGGTTTGGTGGGGGGAACTTCTTGAAGGGGAATGAAACTACATAGGACTTCCACAGGTAAGTTGCCTGCAACATCTCAGGAGAGGACGCTGTGGGGACTGCACCTGACAGCAGCTGCACACCTGCCGGAAGCCATTGCAGGAGCAAAGTCAACAGGTCACGGCGGAATAGTTTCTACATAAGGAGAGCTTTTCTAGTGGAGGGGCTTCCACTTCATGAAAAATCAAGTCGAGAGAGTTTTGTTGTCTTTGTTGTTTTCTACCATATATGTCATCTGTCACTATATATATATTTGAATATTCTAGTACCATACTCTTGATCCCCATCTCTGAATTGCTGCTCAAATGCTGCTCAAATGCCTCTGAGTCATTGCCACTGATTTTCCTCTTGGTCAGATGTTTCTTTTCTATAACCCATTTTAGACGTTTGATGAATTCTCCTTCGATCTTTTGTCTATGTTGTGCTATGCAATCACTTGTCCTTTTTTTTTTTTTTTTTTTTTTTTTTCCTATTTCGTAGGGTACGGTAGATATGTCAGTGTTGGGAGCCCTGCCTTCCTTTCTTTCAAATTTTATCATTAAATTTGAAGTTGTTGTTTTTTTTTTTAAGACTCATTTATTTGAAAGGCAGAGTTATGGAGAGGGAGGGGTTGGGGGGGTGAAAGAAGAGATGTCATCTGTCTGCTGGTTCACTTCCAAAATGACTGCCATGACAGTCTGAGGAGGCTGAAACTCAGAGCTAGGAGCCTCATCCAGGTCTGTCATTAGGGTGGAAGGGACCTAAGTACTTGAGCAGATGTGACTTGACGCAGGACTTGTGTGATGTTGGAATCACAGGTGAAGGCTTAATGCAATGCGCCACGTCGCTGGCTCCAAAAGTCGTGTTTTTTTTAAGATTTTATTTAGTGATTTGAAACACAGACTTACAGAAAGAGAGGGAAGAGATAGAGATCTTTTATCCGCTGGTTTATTCTCCAAATGGCCACACGCACCAGGGTCTAGTCTAAATAAAAGACTTGAGCCTGGAACACCACCTGGTCTTCGTGTGGGTTTCAGGGGCTCAAGCACGTGTGCCATCCTCTGCTGCCTTCCCAGGTGCACATGAGCAGAGAGCTGCACCCAAAGCGGAACAGCCAGGACACAAGCTGGTGCTCTTAGAGGGGGTGCTTGCATTGTGGGTGGCGGCATAACTTGCTGTGCCACAATAGCAGCCCCAAAAGTCTTCCCTTTATGAGCCATCCATGGCTTTGTTTTCTTCTTTGTCCTTTCTTTGATTCTTGGATCTAGGTTCAGTCCAGTCAGAGTTGGCCTCTAATTCCTTCTTTCTCCCAGGTCCTTTCCTACCCATGTCCAGGACATGCTCTCAGACCCTGGACTGTGTTTTATCCTCGTCTCATGAGTTGTCCCTGAGGTAGGGAGACAAGAAGTTACACTTTGTGTTTGTAAGGAAACTGGGTTCCTCCCCATGTCTGTACAGTAAGCTGCCAAAGAACGAACTCACCTGACATGCTGTAGTTACCCCAGCTGGCCCTAGGAGCCTCGTGGTGAGAACCATGTTAGTTTTATAACAACCATGAGGCTGCATACGCACTGCCTTCAATGTGAACTGAATTTGCTGTACATATGCGGGGCAAGCCACACAGGGAAACTGACTGTGTTTTTTGCCTTCTGTTGACAGAATGGTACACGAAACTTCCAGGACTTTGACTGTCAGGTAAGGCCTGCACAAGCACCAGGAGGGCTCTGTACAGGTGTGGGTTGCCTGCCTGCCTGTGGGCGTGGTCTTGTAGCGGTAGCTCTTGGCACACCTGATCATGACTGCCCATTGTCCTTTGATCATGGGATCAAGCTTATGTGGAATGATTAGCTATCACGTTCAGAAACTGCCTGCCAGAAACAGGTTTTACATTGGAAGTTTGCTTGTGGGTGGAATTCCTTACAGTGGAGATCTTTTCTCAGATGATGCTGAGAACCTCATTTGTGACACACAGCTGACAAGCAGTGGTCGTGACCTCACGGCAGAGAAAGTAGGGAGAAGCAATTTGGAAGAGAGACTTCTCGACCAAATTTTAATCAGTAATGAAGATCTCTCATTGAAATGAGGATTTCTCCTGGTTTTATATTTAGAAATGCAAAATCCAACTTAAAAAAAATTTGATTCATTAGTATTTTCCCTAATGGCACTGCTTTTCCCATCTTACTTTTTGTACGAGCTCCATTGCCAATGTGAAAATCAACAGTGTGAGCCAGCAGTGTTCTACCGCCTGCTTTATGTGTTGACTGGTGCCAAAAGAAATGGCAGGAAGGAAAGAGCAGAGGCAGATGAGAGCCGCAGAAGCCCTGGAAGCCCAGACCTCCCAATTGGGGGATGGCCAGCGTGGCAGAAATCAGCAGCAGCGACAGGAGGTAGATTGCCAGGGGCCTAACCAGCAGGGAAGAAAGAGTGCTGGGACACCAGTTTTCTTGTTCCAGTATGTTTTCTTCTTCTTTTTTTTTTTTAATCGCATTTCATTTTATAGCATCGTTTCATAGGCTCTGATGTTTCCAGTATGTTTTCAAGAATGCAATTTCTATTAAGTACAATGACTCTAGTGTTAGCATGAAGAAAGAACTAATATCTCTCATTGGCAAAGCAGCTGTATCATAATAATTTATTGGTCATCCACTATAGAATACCTGCTAAACACATTATCTCCAGTTTTTAGAGCAGTATCCTGTGATGGCTTTTGTCACCCTATTTTGGCAGATGAGGAAATCTGAGATTAAGTTTTATAACTTGCCATTGAATAGTTAGGATTGAAAAACTGTTGTGTACTCTTTTACATCTGGACATGTTCGCAATGGAAACGTAAGGAATTGAGTTGTCTTTAAAGCTAACATCCCTCGGCAGAATAGATGAGAGGTTGACATTGGGAGGAGCAGGCTCACTCACCGTGTTGCTATATACTGCTGTTTCCAATTATCTCATGATATAGTTAGTTGATGATTTAAATGCACAGTGTAATTGGCCTAAAGCCATTACTGAGTCATTGCTTTAGGTGATGACTGTTTTCAAAATTATTTAAGGAACAGAAAATCATATATATCTTTTTTTTATTGGAAAGGCAGATTTACAGAGAAAAAGATCTTTCATCCACTGGTTCACTGCGTAAATGGCTGTGATGGCCAGAACTAAGCTGATTAAGAGCCAGGAAGCTCTTCTGGGTCTCCCATGCAGGTGCAAGGGGTCCTTGCACCTCAAGTGCTTTCCCAAGCCACAAGCAGGTAGCTGGATGGGAAGTGGAGCAGCCATGACACGAACTGGCACCTATATGAGATCCTGGCACTTACGATTGGAGGATTAGCCAATTGAGCCATCATATCAGGCCCAAAACAGATGTATTTTTAGAGAGAGAGAGAGAGAGCATGCACTTGCATCCTCTAATTTACTTTGCAGATACGTGTAATATTTGGGACCAGGTAAACCAAACCTAGGGACTAGGAATTCAGTTCAGTCTTGAGTCTCACATGGGTGGCAAGAACCCAGTTACTTGAGATGTCACCACTGTTACTGCCTGTCAGGATCCACATTAGCAGGCAGCTGGAGTCAGTGGTGGAGCTGGGTGTGGAATCCAGGAGCTGGGTGTGGAATCTGATGTGGGATGCAGACATTTTAACTAGTGTCTTAACCATTAAATACCTGCCCTGGTGATGACTCTTAGAAAACAAAAAGGAATATTATTTTTTAATAAACACTAACAGTCAAGTTTGTGTTTAGTTGGATGAATCTGCGAAGGTGAATTTACAGAGAGAAGGAGAGACAAATATCTTCCATTTGCTGGTTCATTCCCCAAATGGCCACAGCAGCCAGAGCTGTCAATCCAAAGCCGGAAGCCAGGAACCAGGAGCATCTTCTGGGTCTCCCACGTGGGTGCAGGGTCCCAAGGCTTTGGGCCATCCTTAACTGCTTTCCTACACCACAAGCAGGGAAATGGAACAGCCAGGACACAAACAAGTGTTCATGTGAATGCCAGTGCATGTGAGGCAAGGATCTTAGCCATTGAGCCATAGCACCAGGCCCTAGTTGGCCTTTTTAATATTGATTAATTTATTTGGAAAACAGTTGCAAAGAGAGGGAGAAGCAGAGAAGTCCTCTATCAGCTCATCTGCTCCCCAAATACCCCTCTTCCTAACACTGTTGAGGGCTCTGCTTCCTTTTACTCTCTTTTCAAGGGTTTATGTGCTGTTGGGGCAGCTGCCTCAGAACAGCAGGCTAATAGTAGACCCAGGAGGTAGGATGATGTGAGAAGACTAGAAGGGCCTGGTTTGCCTGCAGACTTCCCAGAAACCATTGGGCATTCTTAGGAATCCAAGCAGAACACATCTATGGTCCACCCATCACCAGCTGGACAGGCTTGCACTCTTGCCATCTGTGTTGCCCTCCAGCATAGACATGGGTGGGAGTGAACTGAAGACATCTAACCAGGCTTCTTTCAGGTCTGTGCCTTGATGGAGAAAAATCTTTAAGGAATCTTTGCTGCTGTACCTAGAAAGTCATCTCAGTATCCTCACCTAAACTCACAGCTTGAATCTAAAGTCTGTTTTCCTAACTGATCAGCTGCATATGGTTTTTTTTTTTTTTTTCAGTAATGAAGATATAATCTTGGTTCTTTATCCTTAGTTGCATCATTGTCGGTACTCTTCTGAGGCAGGTGGTGGATATAAGGAGTCATGAGAGAAGGGGAATGGTTCCAGCTGACACAGTTGGAATTTAGAGGAGCGAGCCTGTTGCTGTGTGAGGCAGTGACTCAGCAGTCTTCTTAACATCCATCTTCTTCAGTACCACTGGGTTTTCTTCTTCTTCTTCTTCTTGTGAGATTGCTTACAGGTTTAGAGCTAAAGTGTGAGATTTGGCACAGGGTTCCAGGTTCAATTGAGATACCTGCATCCTGTGCCACGATATCTGAGCTGAAGTCTTGGCTGCACTCCTTACCCCAGCTTCCTGCTGATGTGTATCTTGGGTGGCTGCAGGTGAGCACTGAAGCAACTGTGTCCCTGGTACCCGTGTGGGAGATCTGAATGGAGTTACTGGCTCCTGGATTTAGCCTGGCCCAGCCCAGATTATTATGAACACTGAGAAATGAATCAGCAGATGGAAGATCTCTCTCTGTCTCTGTTTTTCTGCCTTTCAAATAAATAAAATGGCATGGCCATCAGCTGAGTACTTTCATGCTGGCTACTTCATTGCAGTCTCTTTTTAGAGGACAAATGGAAAAAGCCCAACCCATGAGAATTGGTGTTGAAACTGCAATCCAAACGTATGTGTGTGCTTACCTCTGCAAAGGAGCTTTAAAAGAACTTGCTATGTATTTCCAAGAGTAACATAGACAGAAAGACAGTCTTCCATCTGCTAGTTCACTCCAAATGACTGCAACCAGGTGCACTAGTGAGGAAGTTGGATCAGAAGCAGAGCAGCCAGAACCTCCAAATGGAGTTACTCCGACGCAGGAAGTTACATCGCAAAAGGTGGCTCAACTCTCTGTGTCACAGTGAGCACCAGTCACTTCTGAGGGGCTTAAACAGGTCTATATCCTTGTAGATCTCTTGGTGTGATGTGAAATAAGATTTCTGGAAGTTGGTTTAAAGGGAAGAAGTGATTGGGGAGCGCTGGCTTCAGCTGCCTGCTGCAGTCTGATAGAGTTGGAATTCAGAGTGTTGTAGATGCTTTCATGCCTTGTAGATGCTTCTGGGCTGTGTGCCCTCCAGCCTTGAATCCCACAGGTTCTCTTCTGATTCATCCCTGCCCGAATAATGGAAAGTTACTGCCACTATCGCCCAACCACTCCTGTGTTCTCTCCATACCTCATGGTGATTTTTGTTCCTCTTTCCTCCCTTTGACACCTCTTGCTCCCTACTTCTGGTTTGATTCTGTTGTAGCTTTTGTGTGTGGTAGGGTGATTCTATTAAGTTCTGATGGTTTGAGTGACTGACTTCATTTGGGGAAAAGCAAAAGAGAACCTTTTAGCAAAGCTAAAGTCCTTTTTTGTATCACCCATAATATCAGTTCCTTTCCTCGCATCACTACAGGTTTGCTTCCTCTGGTGAGTCCCGTCACATGCCATGCATGACTGTCAGTAGCTACCCTAACTCATTTCCTCCAAGTTTAGCCTTACCATGAAAAATCTTTACTTGACACTCTGGAGAAATATTCAGAGAGGATTCTCATTTGCTTTGTAAAAAAGTGGTGTGTGTGTGTGTGTCTGTCCAGTGTTTGAGTGGACCAGAGAGCTGCACCGCTTCCTCCCCAGACTTCCCTAGAGCATGTTCTAAAACTGTCAGTACTGCTGTGTATGTGTTAGGCACCCTTTCCCTTCATCATTGACTGAGGCTATGTGAAGAAAATACTGCATGAGGCATTCAAGGAGGAAATGATACATGTCAGGTGGACAATTTGGAAAAGAAACTTCCCAAATGTAGAGTGTGATTTGTAAAAAGACTGTTGAATGGTGACAGTCGATACCTGAAGCCTGAAGCCTGAATTGAACCTGATTGAAGGTGTCAGAGTTCAAGGTTGAAGGAGTTGAGACTGAAGTCAGAGAAAAGATAATACAGAATGCAAGTTGGGGTAGACAGTGTGATACAATAATCCTCATCTTGCAATGTCCACATCCATGAGAGAGTTCCTGCGGTCATATCCTGCCTCACTTGACAATCTAGCTTCCCCCGGATGTGCCT